GCACCAGGGCCTGGCCAAAGCTGCGCAGGAGCCAACCAAGGCACTGGAGCGATGTCAGGTTGAACCAGTGCCCGTGCAACGTGACCCACGGGGTTTTGGTGTGTACCAGGTAAAAGGTTAACATGGTGCTGCTCCCCTGGTATGTGCCTTGGTGGGCAACATCTCCTCCCACTGCTGTCACCTTTCATCCCGTGGACCTCAGCTGATGGAAGCAGCTGCAGCCTTGGGCTGGTGATGGCTGCCCATGGTAGGTAGTTGAAACCCTTCAGCAGCACCTCGTGGCACTCAGTGGCTTTTTTTAGTTCCTTGTTTATTTATTTTATTTTAACCTGAGGCACACTGCAGTTGCTGTCTGTGCTGCTATCAGGCTACTCAGCCCAGCCATTGCAGGTTGTGCTGATGAGAGGAGAAACCCCTGACAAAGTCCTCAATCACACCCAGCAAAAAAACCAACCAAGCCAAAACCCACCAAATAGAGACAGGTGTGGGGCTGACCCTGGGCATGGGGTGCTGGAGGCTCAGCAGTGATACTCAAATTCTTTGCTTTTCACAAATAGTAGCCACCTATGTGTTGGGTTTTTTTTTCTTTCCCTACCTCAAATCAGGCCTTAAGGAATGGACTCGCTGGTTTAACCTCCATCTCTTTGACTGAAGAGGTCATCAGGAAGCTTGAAATAACCAGTCCCATACACCAGGAAAATAAATATTGGGTTGGTTTGTTGTAGTTTTGTTTTGTTTTTCCTTCTTATTGTGCTTTCCTGATGTATATGAACCCTTGTGGTAGTGGTGTCATGCATACGCTGGGCACTGGCTGGTTAGAGGTGAGAGATGGCTTTTGCTTCACTTGTTTTTCTTGGTTTTGCTTTTTTACCTCTTTGATGTGCTTTGTTGTGGGTTCTTTTATCCCCCCTTTTTTAATTATTAACCTGTCTGTATCCTAACCCATGAATTTTTGCACTTTAGCCTTCTAATTCTCTCCCCATCTCACTGGCTGAGGGGGTGAGTGGCTGCTTGGGGATGAGCTGCCAAAAGCAAACCAAGAACCCCAAGGTAAGTAGCAGGTTTAAAAGAAGAAATGAACTACTCAAACACCAAAAAAAAAAAATCCAAGAGCATAGCTGGTTTATAAAGGAAAGTTTTATTTTCAGTTATAAGGTGATTACAAACTCATCTAAAAAAGCAAAGATGACTTAAAAATATCCATATACATTTTATTTATCTAAAAAGCAAAACAGAAACTGCAAATTACAAACATTTACCATATACACAAAGGTTAGAGGGTTTTAGGATTAAATTACACTCCAGGATTTTTTTTTTTTTCAAATACAAATATTCCATTTTGGAACACACAAAAAATGTTTTAAAATGTTTTAAAAATATTTTTAACATTTTTTTTCTTTAAAAAAAGTTCAGATGACATTTTTAAGGAGGCCGTTGTTGCCTTTGCCTCCTTGCTGTATGTGCTACTCATCACATTACTGTAGTCACAGTTGCTAGGAGTTAAATAATAATAAAAAAAAACACCACTGTTTTTTTTAGCCAAATACATCAAACAAGATGGACCACCTCTTACAATGTGAAGTCCCTGGCAACATTATCAGGTAACAATCACAACATTACACTGGAGAAAAACAACATCCTATTGAACAACAAGCACTTCAGAACAGTACTGGGATGCTGCGATGCTGAGAGACCGGCGCTGGCTTCCAGGACAGGAGCAGGTGACAAACTAACTCAACTTGCCCCCTCAGGATTTTTTTTTTTTTTTATCAGCCTCTCAACATATTTTTGCCACTGTTTGTTTTTTTTTTTCTTTATATACTGAAAAAAAAATTTTCAAATCTTTTTAACATCTCAACTGCAGAAGCAGGCAGAGTTAGAAACGGCGGGTGTTGTGCTCACAGGGACTCTGCCACAGGGCTGGAGCCTCCCCCCACATATGCACGCACACAGAGCACGTGCACAGCTCCTTAGCAGAAATCAAGTTTCACTTTTTTTTTTTTTTTTTATTCCCCATTATTTCTTCTGATTTCTCAAGTCAGGTCATGTTTTCCCTGTGCTGCCAATGGGAAAGTGAGCAGCACCATCCCGCTGTGCACTGCAGAGCCATGGGGAACAAGCCTGCAAAAACTTGCCCCTTTCCAAATTCTCTTTAATTTACTTTACTCCTGAAGCTTGAGGTAATTAAATTTTGACACTTTCACTGATTATTTCAAATTAGGACACAACAGCTGTGTCTGCTCTGACATTCAATAGCCCAGCAATACCAGCAGGGTCAGGCTCTTTTCCAGTCATAAACCCTGTCACTAAGTAGTTTTCCACCTCTGATGGGGATGGGTGGGGTGTTTTCTTAATTGTTTCAACTGGCAAAATTTGAGCCTGCCTTTTTTTGGGTCAAATGGTGTCTGAAGCTTTTTCTGCTCCTGTTTTAGGACACGTGTTAATTGAAATCACCAATTCCCACTGACAATTGGAAAAAACCCCACACAAAAATGTGACTTTTTCTATTTATTTTTTTAATAGAAACAAACAAATTGAGATTTATTTTTTTCTTTAAACACAGAAGCATTGTCCATATAAACATTTATTTTGGGCTGGCAGAAAAGAGCCTCAGTTCAGTAGAGGGTACAGGGCTGGAGCGGGCAGTTTTCCAGCAGCGGCTGGTGCTGGTTATACTCAAGTCTTTCTTGATCAATCTTTCCCATAGGCTCAAATTGACCATTAATACCATAAGAAAATTTTTGTGACCAAAATATGGAGCTCAGGGAGCCTCTTTTGCATTAGTTCATAGGTTTCTTAAGTGTCAACTGTCACTAAATAGACTGAATACTTTTCGTTTCTTAAGCTTACCTTTGATTATAAGAAATAAAAGAAGCCACCAGAGTCTGACAGTTCCTGACCTTTGCTCATGCAAATATACAAATACACAGCTACATGTCAATCCTAACCACAAGGCTTTGGATGCTGATTTTGGAGAAAACAAGCCCAAGGCAGCTGCCTGAACCCACACGACACCCAACCTCCCATGCCAGGAGCCATGTAGTGCCTACAAGGAGCCAGGAGAGCTTTCAAGTCCAACCTTAAGCCTTCCTTGGAAGGGCCATGGTCCAGGATTTTGTCATTACTTTCCTTCTGCCACCACCCTCATTTAGGAAAGCCCATTTGGACACGCTTGTAGGTTGGCTCTTAAATGGCAAGTGGTGCCTAAACCTCCTCAATCCTCATCCTGAACAGCTTGGCAAGACTTACACACATGATTTGCAGCCTAGGAATAGAAGCAATGTCCCCACTGTGTGCGTGCATATGAGGGTGGAAGATTTCATCTACTAGTCTACTTAAACACAAATTTATTTTTATTCTTTTTACTGAAAGTGAGCAACTTCCACTGAACCTCCTTGGAAATGATGTCAGGGTCATCCTTCTTCCAAGTGTACTTGAGCTGCTTAACTAACTTGTCCACTCCATTCAATGAACAGCTTATTTAACATTTTATATACATTGTGCCTCCATGAGTGATCAGGCAGTGACCACAAGATGGGGAAGCTAATAATCAGTTATTCAAAAATGTTCAAATCCTTCTCCCACGGATGGAAGTTTGCCATTGATGCAGTGAGTGGGAGCTTTGAACCCAAGTGTGACAAGCACAACCCCAACGAAACTGTAAGTCTCCTTAGCAAATAAAAAACAGACCAGGAGGAGACTTGGAAAAGAGCTATTGAATGGAGATGTCCATGTGTCTTCAGATGTACTTGACTTATCTAACGCTGAGACAAAGAAGAGGAACCAGGAGCATCTGCAGTTGAGAAAGGAGGATGCACACAGGACTGAAAACAGCTGCAGAAGGTGTGGTCCTGACGGTGACATTAAAGGCTCTGCTGATGGTTGCTGGGTTGCTGGTTTTTTTTTTTTTTTGGTGTTACAACAACTGTAAGGCTGCACTTTTTTTTTTTTTCTTTTCCTCATTTCCTCCTCTCCCCAAGAATAGCAGCGAAAATCAGTTTTGCTGAGCTGTTCCAGCAGACCATTCCTAACTCCCCTCCAGCCCCTAATTCCAGGAGCTGCGCTGCTGCTGTAGGGTGACCACCAGCGCTGTTCTAGATGGCAAATACAGCTGACACACTTTTGTATTTTCATTTACAACACAGGAAAAAAATCCATTGTGGACCTACTATCAAACTTTAAAAGAGGACTTTTCTAAGTGTGCGGATCTGTTTGGACCAGATGAAAAGGAAAGCTATGGATGAGAAGGAAAATTAGAATAATAACAACAACAACAACAATAAAAAACCAGTTCTATTTATGAAATCATACTGTTTAAATACTGAGATACAGACTACTGGTAAAGTCCCTTACAATAGATGCTCATTCAGTGAGATCATCACTAGTGACAGGTGAACTGAAAAGGTTTGGAAAATTGGAAAAAATAAGAAACAGGTCAGAAAATCTCATGGGGAAAATGTTCCCCTTTACATTTCTACTATTTCTTGATTACAGTTCAGCTGGAAATAAATACTGCTGAAACTCTGCCGTTTTCAAGCCCAGAAGAACCCATGAATACAAAGGTACATTAAATATGAAAAGGTGTGCGTTTTGTCTTGGTTTATTCTGGCTTTAATCTCAGGGATCTGGTTCTAAAGATCTCACACCAAAACTACACTAAGTTTTCCCTGGATCCAAACCAGTTCATCTATGACTAGTCATGATACTTTAATATAGAGTTCCTCATTTACACAAAACAGGTAAAATAGGTCACAAGAGTTTAAACAAGTAAATATATGAAAAAAATCAAGTTGTCTTTGCAGTCAAAATAGGTAGAAAACACAAACTTTTTTTAAAATCATTTTTTAATAAATTTGGCAGAGGATCATGTTGAAATGCAAATTTATCACCAAGAAAAGTTTAGAAATCTGATAAAATTGTTAGGAAAACCCCCCCAAAACTATAAAAATGCAAATGTTCTCACCGGAACTCAAACCCCAGATAAAACAAGAGGAATTAAGTTTTTGTTTTTTGTTTCTGTTTTTTTCAAGGAAGAGGGAGGGGAGAGTGGAACTGTTTTCCAGAAACAATAATTTCTTGGCTCTTGGTGAGTCCCAGACCTCCCTTGCAGTTGTGCTAAGGAGCACAGCAGGGCCAGAGAAGCTGACACAGAGAATGTTCCAATGAGGTTGTTGCATATCTGCGAGACATTTTCACTTGGAACATGGAAGCGACTGATTTGAATGGCACAGTTTGTATCGAAATGAGGCTGGGTTCTAGTTCTCTAGTAGTTGTATATTTAAAGGTGTAGTATTAACCCTCTGGTTCTTCACACAAAGACACTCTTCCCAACATGGGAGATGTTTAAATACCCAGCTGACTTGCTGGAGACATCTTTGATGTAGTCAAACCATTTTTTCCCCTAACTAAAGCTTGTCTCACCTCTACAGCACAAAAGTGATGTGCAAACTATAAAATCTCAAACACAGTTGCACGACAATGCATGTGTATATATATATATATATAAAAAGAAATAAATCAAACATCAGTGTTTCATCTGCACTCACAAAAACCATTCATTTAGACCCCCCCTAACCTGCTACTCCCTCGTCACCTGTGCCTGTTTGCTGCAGACACTAATTGTAACTCAAAAATGAGAGTCCAAGATGAAGCCCACTAAGAGAGTTATCTTTGATTATGCTTCCTTGCCTTTGATTGTTACAGGCTATTAAAAAAAAAAAAAGCTGTATGCATGTTTCTTTATTTTGGGCACATTTGATGACACCCTGTGACTCTCAGAATTCCTCCTGTGACCTTTGATGGCTGTTGTCACTTGCTTAGCAGGTGTCATTAGATGTTTGCCATCTGCAGCTTTGGAAAAGTTTCATTTAGAGCTCTCATAATACAGCAACCAGAAAAAGAAAACAAAAGTAACTCTACTGTGGCTGGTTTTGTTGCTGCAACTCAGCTATCTGATGTAAAAATATCTACAAATTCCAACTAGAAAGATTTTGAAAGTTATAGATGCAGCCACTTTTTTCTTTCTTTAATAATTATTTTGGTCCATCTCTTAGTTTTAGATCACCCATTTTCAGTTACAGGAAAACCAACAAGTTAACAAGTGTTTGTGCTGCTGTGGCCACTTAGCCCATGGGACAAGAAAAACTAAAATAAAACTACTGTGTAGGAATGTTAAGAACTGGTTATGTTCCTGTTTAGATAAATGACAAACTCTGCCCTGACAGACTAAGCTGATAGCAGAAAAAGCAAACTCTGCTTTTATCAAGCATTTCTTCTAAATACCTTTGGATAGCCTAACTGTGGTACACAAGAAAAAACTTTCTTCCTCTAATACAATGCCCACAAGAAAAGGCCAAGTTTTGCCAGAGAACCTGTTCCCAGCACAACCTGCTCAAGTTTAAAAAAAAAAAAAAAGAAAAAAGAAAAAGGCTTTTGTCCAGCTTTTGGACAGTCTTCAGGGATTCAATTCCCCATGGAAACATTCACCTGGACCACACGAAGTGGACCTCCCCATTCCTACACTCCTTGTAGTGGTTTCTCTTTCCTCCCAAGTCTCACCTGGAACGGTACCCAATTCCTACTGATCAGTACAAAATATTTCAGTGTTACATGTTCCCTTTAATTTAAATTCCAAAAAGCCCTCTTTCTTCAGCATATGAGATTCATAAATATGCCTTCAAACCTCCTTTCCCCCCAGAAAACCAAACCAAATCAAATCAAACTGTGGTTTAACCCAATGATGAGCAAGGAGACCAGGGGCTCTAGGTCCACTACTGCTATTTAGTAACATGTGACAAGGGACTTACAGAGTTCTCTTGTCTGTTCCTCCAACAGCAATGACCAACACACCCCGTCCCCACCAAAAATACATAAATAAAGCAAATCCTGGTTACCAAACTTGGAAAAACATTTTTGAGATACATGGATGAAAAGCACCTGTTTGCTGTGTGATATTATTATCATCATTACTATTATTATTAACAATGTGTCTGTTATCAATACCGGTTCACCAGGTGAGTGGTTTTGTTCCTCCTGTCAGGGATGACCTGGTTTGTGTTCACTCCTGAATGGTCAGAGTCCAGAAGTGATTCTTTTATTTTTCTGCCCCAAACCAAAATCCAAATGAGGAAGTGAACATCTGAAGCACCCTGAGGCAGGCACTGCTTTTCCCCTCTTGGCTCCTCAGTGCTCACCCCACTGCGGCGGGGACAGGCTGCCATCCCAGTTTGCAGAATTCAAGTTTACACCAGTGTCACTGCATCAAAATATGCTTTGCTGGAAAACTCAGGAGCAGGTAGGTACTCAACCTCCCTGCCCACGCACAAACAGCAGGCATTTCACTCAGGTAAAAAAACCCTAAAGTTCTAAAAAATAACAAAAAACCCCTGAAAACCATGCCAAATCCTGCAAATGCCTTCCTCGAGTCCTCCCCCATCAGTGTGACAAGGTCCCAGCGCCATCCCTGGGAGGGATGGCCACAAAGCCTTTCACACTCAGCTTCCCTTGCAAACTCTGCTCCAGCTGTTTGGCCATACCCTTATTCAGGGACTTGCTAAACAAAACCCACTCCCTAAAGTGACCCTGATGCCTGTCGTTTACCACAATTGAACCAGAGGGTGGAAATACTACACCTTTGAAAATTCTCTTGAAACAGCATTTTTTTACAAATTGTATCTCTCGACAGAGCTCCTTTTGTGTGTTCTGTAGGTTACCCTGCTCCCAACCATACCAGCACCTAAAATTGCTTTCTGAGACTTGAATGTATTGCTGGTAAGACAATCAATTCAAGTGGTAAGGTGTATAATATTTAGAGATAAAGATATATATATTTAAAAAAACCCAATACTAGTAAATTCCTGTAATATGTCTAGTCTGATATGAAAGCTCTCCCTCTACAGAGAGACGTCTGCTGTGATTACCTTACAAAATATTAAAAAAAAAAAAACCAAAAAAAACACACACACAAAAAATAACTTTCTCTGTGAGAAATAAAAATAAATCCTAGTGCAAATATAAAGCTCTGTAAACCTGGTCCTATGAGAATCTATGGTTAGTAAACGGCAGTTAAAGCAGGTTTATCCTCTCACAGAGAGAGCTCACATCATGGTTTCCACAATGATATGAGTTGGCTTGATCAATCCGCCATTCGAAGTTCCATTGGGGCAGAAGGGGGTGCCGCTCTCCGTTTCTTTGGACCACCGGTTCACTTCCTTGGGGGCAGCCACCGCCTTTATCCTCTGAAAGAAAGAAGGAGAGCAGAGGTGAGACGACCAGGAGGCCTCTGAGTCTCCACACGCAGGAGGGAGGATGCAGCAATCCAAGGGCAGGGATGGCACTGCTGGAGCCGTGCGTACACCCCACGGCTCTGCAGGGACACGGGGATCTCTGGAGCACTGCCTTCAACTTCTGCTCAGCTGCACAGCCTGACTTGATGCAGGGCAGACAGACAGGAGAGGGCATTCCCAGTGTTACCCAGCATCCTGCACACTGGGCTTTCAGTGCTGCTGCTGCTGCTCAAATGATGTGTGTTCTCCTTCCTCATTTAGAAACAGCTCTGCCGTCAGCCCAGCCCTCCCTGCCAAGTGGCAACTTCTCTCCTACATTTCAGTTCACAAAGGAAGAACTAAATGGCATCTGACCAATGTTTACTCTTCTTTCCTTTCCTAACATAGTCTTTGAGCAGTGTTTTGGCTACTTTTAGACTTGTCTCTCATGGTGACAATGGTGACAATGTAGGCAACAAAATTAACATTTATGCCCTGGCCACAGCTGAAAAAGACCATTAACACTTGGACGAAAACAAATGCAAGTGTTTGTGCTCTGGGACAAGTTTGGTTTGGGCATTTTTTTTTTAAATTTCTATTCTCTCTTTTTTAATAACCCAAAGTGTCCCACTTTATCCTCCAAGAACACCCTGGGCTGCATCTTAAGACCATCTCATTAGGCAAAAACAAAACTAATCTGAAAACTTAAAAGAGAATTGCTAAATTGCACAGTCTCTAAAAACTTTAAACTGGAATAAAAACAAATTAGGGGAACCTACACTGAACTGGAAAGGGCAAGAGACTGCCTGCAAATCCAAACCCAAGGACATCTGCACTTTTAAATCTGAATCGGACTCAGTTTTCCAAAGATCAGGGCAATCTGGATCCAGTTTCAATTTGAAATAAAACAATAACAATTTGAAAGAGCTAAAAAGTGAAGTCCACTGTCAGGAGGTTTTGACTTCTGTTTAGTCCTCCACAGGGAAGGCCATGCCTGAGAGCCATGCTATCCCCAGGTGTACCCAAATTTCCCTGAAATTCAGTGAGCTTTTACACAACCAGGTTTGTCCCAGGTCTCTCCCTCTCTTTCTCCTGCTTTCTCTATGATTTTCACCATGGTGCTTCCATGACCCTGTGGGCTGGAAAAGAGAGACCTGATACTCAGAAACACCCCAGTCCTTGAGTGTTTGTCTGCACGTGGAGGTAATGATTTGCCAAGCTGGCAACTGCACAAGTGGGACACGAGTAAAATCACTTGATGTTTGTCTGAGGACAGAATGCTTTGTGTTTGTTCTGTTTCTACTGTTTGCCCAAAGGACAGGTGATCTTTAACAGTCTTATTTGCCCTACCTGGACAAGGTGGCAGTTTTCCAAACATTATTTTGTATAAAACACAGCAACTTAAAGCTCCCTTTCTCCCCTAGACAAACAATTGGTTGCTCTTACCTCAATGAGCGACCCATCTGACTGAATGATGCGGATGACCATCACCATAGGGATGCAGATCATGGAGGAAAGGGCAAGAACCCAGCCCAGGCCAATAGCCCAGTCTGGGTATGTGTAGACCTTGTTGTAGGTCAGTGGTTTGTACTTGGCCAAAGAAAAGATAAAGCACCCCTGTGGATGAGAAAGGAAAACAAAGTGAGGCTCAAATAATGACAGAAGTAGTAGGGGTGTGGTGCTACCACTGGCCCTGAGGAAGACAGGCAGTGAAAGGCAGAGCTGATGATACCCCCATGTATTTTAAACCAAAGTGAGAATTATTCTTCCATTTAAATCATTAAAAGAGCATCTGCATCTGCTTATAGCATCTGCTCCTTGAAACAGAGTGCTAAGAGATGATGCTGAACAGCTGCAGTATGCTGCCCGTTCTTATTCAGGGCTCAACTATTTGCTGAACATTGCAAGGAGATTACCAGGATGTTCTTCCCACCCAGTGAAATACTTCAAGCTGAGATCTGCCTCAGACTGCTCAAGTCTTTTTGTTACAACAGCCTAGCAGTCCTGTGTCTGCTCTTTGGAGAGAGTTTTCTCTTCATGATTGTATCATTTTGCCAGTCCTAAGAAAAATACACTGAAACGTAACCAACTGCAATCTGCACAGGCACAGTAGAGAGCTGTCACGTTAGCAGTTGACATCTGAGAACAGAATGACTTTGAGGGGAATGCACAAGCCTCCAGATTCTCTTTGCAAATTGCCCTCTGAATGCCACAACCTTCTCTTGAAGAGAAGCAGTAAGAGGTGGCTCAGCACTGCCATGTGCAAAATCTGAAAGGGCAGAGGTCAGTACTCACCACGCAGAGAACTGGTGTGATCACAATCCAGCTCCATTTCATCCAGGGACCAGGTCTGTATCCAATCATATCCTCAATGGCATCATAAATATTATCAGCGCCTGTAAGAATCGAACATACAAAAGCCCTGTAAGAACTGTAGGATTAAAGCTGCTTTCCCAGGCTCCAAAGGAGCATTTGAAGGGAAGATGAGGGGGTCAGATGTATTCCTCAAGTGCTGCCCACAGCTGTGAAGTCCAACATGATTTTCTTGAGAAGTGCAAGGTTTGGGGGACTCTCTCATCCCACCCTTCCCCTCTTTATTCAGATGCAGGAGTGCCTCCTTCACACACCCTCTCCTCTCTCCTGACTCTCACTGAACTTGCCAGAGGGATCACCATGGGAAGGAGCTGACAGCAAACAGAGCACCCTGCTTCTACAGGAATCTGACTGGTGCCAAACGATGGCTTTGTTTGTTTCGCTTTTCTAAGGAGATGGAGCACATAAGGAATCAGAGAAATGAATAGTCCTGACCAGCAAACATCTGATCCCTCCCCAGCTCAGGCACCTACAGAGGCTACTGTCAGACCTTGGTACTTGGCACTGCCTAAAAATAATGGGGCAGAATACGCTCCTCTGTCAGCTCTCGTTTTGTACTTTCTGTTTGGTTGGCTTGGCCCTGCGGACACTGCAGCCCTGAAAGGAAATTCTCTGAGAGACAAAGAGGAATTTTCATGGCTGGCCAAACTTTCAACTCTCACCTCTAAACTTAACATGTAAATGCTTAATTGTGCCTTTATTAATTAGCAATGGAAAAATACTAATTTTTTTGTGGAAAAACACTGGAGGTTGGCTTCATCTCAGATGCAAATTCGTCTCCAAGAGGTCAGGGCAAATTTATTTTAATGGCATGTGTCTGCTGCTGGGAAGAAGATTCTGGGGCGGCTGATGATTAAATATTTGGCAAACAAAACTGTCACTGACTCATCAAAAGGTATCAGATGAAAGGAGCCTCACTTACCATAAACCCAGGCTACAGCAATACATTCAAAGAATGCAACCCACAAAAGGCATACACCACTAGCTGCATAGTAGTCAAAGAGTTGAAAAACATACATGCCACCCTGTAAAAGAGAGACACAACTGATTAGGATACAACAGGAAAAAAACCCCAAATATTTCAGACCCAGCTCCCAGCAACATCTATCAACCTATCTCAATGACTGCTGTCTAATAAGAAGCAGTATCATCAAGCAAGTAGGTAAGGTAAATATTTGGCATTGCCTTCCCCAGGGAATATGCATGTTTACTACGGGAAGAATTCCAAACAAGACAACGATTAAACAAAATTAAGCCACTTAGTATAATCTACCAGCACACTTATATCTTTCCTTCTTAAAAGCATTTTAGGATGGGTGTTTAAAGAAACCAACGATACAAAGAAATACTAGGTTGTCTCCTAACACTAACACCTCCTGGAAATGGAAGTCAGTTCATCAGGAGGGTCTTCATTTATTAATTGAGTGAAAGGACTTTTTTCATGAGAATAATTCATTTTTTTGCTTTCTAACTCTCTTTATTTATACTGTGCTGTTAAGACTCTTTGCTCTCACTACACTGAACTACATTTCTACATCAAACCTCATGTTTTTTAGGCACTTCTGTTACAAGTGCTATTTTACCTCTCACATTTGTGCTCTTCCAGTTGTTTTTAAAATCTGGCTTGGATTTTATTTTGGAGATAAATATCACAACAGTGCAGGCACTGGAACATATTCCTGTCTAGTTTATACTAGAATAAACACAGTGGTATTTAATTAATTCAAATCTGTGTAGCTAAGATAAAAATCTCTTTCCTTGCATACATTGGATAGATTCTTAATCTGCTCCGCCAAAGGTTTCCAATGTGTTTCATCATTTAGAGCTAGAAGTTAATATTCATACTCAGGTTGATTGGTACCTGAGATCAGATTGAATTTAATGAGATTTCATGTCTCTGTTCCTCTGACTAGAAAGTGGTTATATATATAGCTCCCTTTCAAAACGCTTTCAGGCCTAGGGATGAAAGATGCTCTGTAGATCTAAAAAGCACTGTTCCTCTGAGTGGCTAAATAGGTAAACTGGCCTGAAAAATGGCTAAAAAAGAAGGCAATTTCCAGCACTAGTGCTACTTACCTCAGTCACCATAGTTAGTCCCAGAAGATAGCTAAGGAAACACACTATAGCGATGAAGATTTCCCGTCGGTAACCCTTCCTTAGGAAGGATGGGTGCAGATCAACTAATGACGTGATCTGTCCTTCAACTTCAACAAACTAAAGGGGGAAAACAGAAACAGAGAAATGTGACTCGAAGAATGCCCGCTGTGCATTTCATCCAGGCTCCTACTTGAACAAACCCTCTCCACCAACACCCCAACTGTACTCTGTGGCAAAATGCTGCTCTGAATAAATAAATCAGAAGCCATGCCTTTGTAACCCAGAGGCTGAAGCGTGGGGGTAGTTTTCAGGTTGGAACAAGCTTTCAGAATTGCTGTTTATTTCCTGGCAGCCTCACGAGCTACCAAAAGGGCTCTGTAAATGCAAGCCACAAGGACAAAGGAGGTTAATTCGATGACAGGAAGGCACTTATGTGGCTTTTATGTTGTCACTGTTCCAGATGAATACAAGATGTATGCTAGAAAAGATGCAGAGAGAAAACACTTAAGAAAGTTCAAGCTAGAAGAGCACCTCCCAACCTTTTTTTGAAAACCTCACAGATACTAGTTAGGTTAATTCCACAATTTGATATAATTCTACTCTTGGGTTTGTTAGTGAAAATCCAGCCAAGGAAAGGCAGACTTTGATGTGAAACAGCAGCTCTTCTTGACCGAACATGTCTTTTTGGATCTATGAGCAGAGTATCTCTGAGTGAGGCTCCGGTTATTTTTGAAAAAATAATGGAGCTGTTCATACAGTCCCCATAAAATCATTTGGCAAAGTATTTGCACACGTAAACCAAAAATGAAGCTCTGAGTAGATGAGCTAAAAATCTTTATCTAGCTTCACAACATCTGTATTTGTACTTGTTTGCCTTTGGAAAACTATATATTTAAGATGTGTAACCTGAGTTAGCCCAATAACCCAAACTGGATTTAAATAAAAGTTTTAATTAATCAAAAACCAGATGTATTTTGCCTCTGGAAGAAAGCAACTACTGAACTTCCCCCAAATAAAACCTAGGACAGGATCTTTGAACTTATCTACACTTTCAACCTGGGAAGGCTGAAAAAGCACAAAGCTCACTGAAGACATGAGATAACCAAAGAGGTATCCAAAAAGGCTGCCTCTGTAGAAATGATCTTCACTTTAAGTAGATACATCTTCTTACAACTAATAACTTATCACATTATTATTACTAGATTAATCTATGACATAGATTACTTCAGGAAAAGCTGCCTTTTCTCACCTGGTACCTCTATTGCTCTTACAGTGCCCAGAAGTGCCCTTTAACAACTCTTCCCTCTTTGATCAAAAACTGAAGCTCTGTTTTGGAAATACAGACTGTCCTGCAAACAGATTTTGTCATACACCAGATTTTGTTGCCTTCTGTCTTGTTATTTTGACTTTTGTAAAACTAGTTTTCTTTTTTAATGCAAACCTTTCCTTTGGGTTGATTTGATCTGAAACTGCTCTGGCATTCCAGAAACCTGCTTGACTGCACTCCAAAAAACCAGAGGGGTGGAGGAGAGAAATTAAGCGCTCCAATTAGTTTTAATCATTCTACGCAGTGAGGAGCTTTTTAAAATTACCAGACGGCTTCCAATTTGCATAAGCATAGGGTTGCTGAACCACAGCATTGGGCACTGTCACATTTACTTTAGAGCAATTGAAAGTTCCTCATCAGAGTTCAAAGATTAAGCCATAAAGAGCAATTTAGGGCAAATCAAATATAAAAAACCGTAAGAGATTAGGTACACAACAACCGCTAAAAATCCATTTACAGAGCTCTCCTCATACTAGAGAGCATTTAGGGTGACATAAACATTTTTTTTTTTTTTTTAATGTTAATGACTTTCCATTTGAGTGCAGAAAAGTTTGAATTTTGAATGTGCAGTTACTGCATAATCCCTGATCACCCATGTTTCCTTGTAAGCGGACTATCTAGAAATGATTTACAGGTTCCTTGGCAGTACTTAGTCCAACATTCCTACAAGCAACCACTGGGAAAAATAACCTAACTTCTTGGACTGAACATTTTGATTTTTTCATGCTCACTGATTAATAGCAGTGTGTGCTTTAAAATTAGTACAGCTGGAATATGAGATGCTTTCTGGTCTGTTTGGAGGTACTAAATGCACGGTGGTGACGTGAAAGTCAGCAGGATCCCACATTGCTCAGCACCTCCAAGCCCAAGGCCACCGAAAAAGGCTGCGGCTTTGTTCTCTGGCTGCTCATGAAGACACCCTGTACAAAACATTTTGTGCTTTTTGTATCTCGTGACAGCTTCACTTTTCTTTTTTGGCACTTGGCAACTCCCAAAGCCTGTATTTCTAATAGTTATTAATTCTTAAAGTGCTTTAATGATGGTGTACACACACTGCAGGTAATCGCAACGGCACAAAGTACTCTGTGGAACTGACTGCTGCGGACTTATACGTTTTAAAATTATTAAGCTTTTCTTCAAAAGAAGAAAATACTGCACTGCAACCAAAATAGTGGTATTTTGTGGCCAGACTAGGACTGAAATTTAGGTTAGGGAGTATTGGCCTAGTCTTGTGGACTCCACTGACTCCTGATGAGAAAGACTTACTGAGCAACACCCTATTACAAATTGACATTCACAGATTCATCAAGTGCAGCCCCTCACTAAAAACCAACGCAGATGAATTCCTCTTAATTCATGCCTTAACTCAGCTTTTTTCAGTCAGCAGCAACAATACAATAAGCCACATACTCCGTACCCATTATACTAACCTGGCTATCCAGTCCAAGCAACAGAAGCATAATAAAAAAAAGGATTGCCCAAAAGGTGGGCAGTGGCATCATGGACACAGCTTTTGGATAGGCAATGAAGGCCAGGCCTGGACCTAGAGAAAGAGAAAACAGGGAAGGGGAAAGGGAAGGGAAGAGAAATAGTAAGTACCAGCTCTTTGGTAAAGGTAGCCACCCTCAAATTCAGGAATGCCTGGTTCCGTTCAGATAAATCCAAACGCAGCTGGAAATACCAGAAGTGAAACAGTTTGGCTGTTTTATCTGAAATCGAAGCACGCATGACTACAGCAGAAACCACAGGCAAACCCCCGAGGCCATTGCTAACAGATCACCAGTTTTAACATCTGTCTCAAACATGCCAATAATGGAGGTGTCCTACATCTGCCCTGCATGGACACAGGACAGTGTTGGGGGCCGGGGGGAGAAGGGGTGACCCAGGGGAATGGCAGAATCCCACTGCTAGCCCACATGGTCATGATGAAGATGATGGTGATGAAACTCTTGCATGCAGGGAAGGGGACTCTGCTGCAAACATTCCCCGGGATCTTCACTAATGTAACCACTGCCTCCCCTCTGTATGCATGGCTTTTCTGAAGCAGGGTTTGCACTCCAGGAATTTGCTCCTTTGCTTCTGCAAACCCCCACTGCTGCACTGATTAGGCTACTCCTAATTATATCAGCTGAAAAAAGTGATTCCTGCTGTTGGGAACTGCTGGGGTGTAAAATCACTCTGAATAAAATTGCTTCCCCATGCTGTCACATCATCTGCCCCTATCTGGCCAGCCTACACGGACCTGCCACGGTGACACTGAGTATGACCAACTCCAGCCCCAGCTGCAGGATGGATTTCAGCAGTCTTGGAGCACCAGTGGGGCTGGGACTACGTGTTGGGCTTCTCTGCCCTGGAAAACAAAGCCTTGTGTGCGAGGGCTCCTCCCTAGACTGGGTCTGTCTGTGCTCTGGACCAGATGGGATCTCACTCACACCCACCCACGGAGCTCTTGCACGCTCATCTCCAGAGGCACTCCCACCTGGAGCCAGGTGCTACTGCTTTTGGGAGCTTTTGTGAAGAGGGAGAGAGCCCTCCGTAAGCGGGAGACAGGAACACCGGCAGCCCTGCATTTACAGCAGGCTCTCAGAGGGGACGGAGAAATTTGGTGAGGCTGACAAAAAATTCTGACAAGCCTGGCTTGTCTGCTTGTTTACTTTAAGGAGCCTTCAAAATCCTGGAAAATGCCAGTTACCAAGCATACTCATGTCATTTTCAATGGAAAAGGGATTTTTTTTTTTTGAACTGCTGCAGTGCAGGGCCAAAAAAATCTTATCTCTGATCTGTATAAAAAAATATTGCTAACACTGCTCTTCCTAACTCCCACTTTTCCTTTTCAACAAGATGGAAAAAGAAATAAAAGAAAGAGGTAAAAAAAAGATGACTTTTTCTCAAACTAAAGAATCACTGAAAATATTTCAACAGAAATAAATACAAATTAGCCAACAATCAAGCAACTAATTTTATTTAAAATTAAACACAACTAAGATTTTATACAACAGAAGATACCAAAAAATTGGTGAATGTCTCAAATTTGGGGGGCCTTTGCTTTTTTCCCCCTTTAATTCAGTGGGTACAGCAGATCCTCCCTGAGGGAGAACTGCTACCAGATGGCATTTGCAGCTGATCTGTGCAATTGATGAGACAGATGTAAAACTGCTCTCCTCAAAACTCGCTGCAATTCTGTATGCTTTGGCCAGTTAAACTGTTCTTGCACTGTGATACCAACTAACACCAAGTGCCCTAAGCCCTGTGCTAGTTCTGATTTTCCTTTGAAACTAAGTGTTGAAATATAAAGAGAAAAGTCCATGTGAAAGAAGATGTTCCTGGCAACCCTTCAACTGAGACATAAATAATCTAAAAATTGTATTTAATTTGAAACTCTATTGTTTGGAAGGGTGTTTTGCAAAAGTGAAGCACTTGTGGCTGCTATTAAAAGCTGGTGAGGACTGCCACGATCCCAGCCCACACTCTGGCCCCTTGCCATGGAGTGCTGTGGCATGGCTGGAGAGCTGCAGAGGCAGAGACCAAGCAGGCACCAGGAAACCCAAGGCACTATAGTCAGACCTGTTTAATCTGAATTTGTTTGCAAATGGAATTTAAAAAAAAAAAAAAAAGGAAATCTTGTGCTGGTTTAACCCTGCTACAGATTGCATGGGTGGTAGAGTATTTCTTCCAGCCAAACAGAGGCCACACAGATTAGACAGGACTCACTATGATTTTGTTGAGTCTCCATTGCTTTCCTTTCTCCCTTTAAAATAATTATTTCGGAAAAAAAAAAGAAAAAAGCTATTTATTAAAAATGTGCTTTCGCAGAGAAGCCAGAGAAGTCTAAGTTAACTTGTGTAAACCCACTAAAGCCAGTGAAGGCCAGCAGTGACCAGTGCTTTCAGCAGGAGCCAGACCTGGCTGACAAGTGTGTCCCTGGCACATGGCACCAAGGCTGAACTTGGCACTGGTAAAAAATGTGGCCATGAGATTCTGCTGTCAGCAAATTTGTTGATGTTCCCGTGGTTTGCAGGAGGGCAAACAATGAAACAAATGATGCCATGGATAGGGTAGGAGGGATTTAACTCCCTGTGGGGAGAAGGAGGTCTCAGCTCTGTGGACAACATTCTTCCCCGAGTGCTACAGCCGACTGGCAGTGCCTCTGCTCACCTTTTTCCTGACCAGGGGAGCAGTTCTGACCTTGCACCGTAAGAAAAAAAAAAAGTAAGGACAGAAAAGACAGGCTCAAGTGCCTGCTGGATGCCTCTGTGCTGAGAAGCAGCAGCAACAAGAGCTTTCCCCACAGCCCCACGCAGGTCCTGGGACACTCATCCCAGGTGGACCCAGTGTCCTCAGTAGCTCTTCAAGAAATCAAAAGCCAAATTTGGAAGCTAATCAGTGCCCTTGCTGCTATGAAATCCCTCCTTTAAAAAAAAAGCTTTTTGAGCTGTTGAAAAAATGTTATGTAAACACTCTGTTAGTTAATTTGTGTTTAAACATTTTTTTTAGCAATCGAGTGTTACTACAGAATTGTTTAATTCTAAAAATGTGAAGTGACAGGAATATAGGTGCCAATATCAGAGATTTAATAATAAAAACTAGAAAAAATATTGACCAGAGAAAAACCTAATGTGCAAATACTTGAAAATACTACTCTTGGAATTGATCCACCTACATACAAATAAAAAAAATAATGGGGCTATTTATGATTCATTCAATAGGATTATTCCCTTGCTTCCTGTTTCCAAACAAAGCAATCAACCTCCGATCAAAATAAGCATTAAGGCTAAGATTGTTAACTAATTGCACTTGCAAGAGGTCTGCCAATTGCAGCCACCCAAGAATCCAGCGGTGCCATCAATGTCATTAGTTTTTCATTAGCCCTTGTGAAGTGAGATTTTTTTTTAAGAGACTTAACTCCCAGAGCCATGTGATTAGAAGATATATTGACTTTTTCATTTTAATAGCATATTTGCAGAGGAAAGCTTTCAAATACTATGCGGGTGAATTAAAAGTGCTCAAAAAAAAAATCAGAAAGAAATGTCAAAAGTGTACTCAGGTGACATTGTTATTACTTGAATTTGATTAGCTTTAAGCCTCATGGCTGTCAAGGCCTGATTCATTATTTTTCCATGGTAATTCCCATCTAATCTGCCTGTTCTACGTGAAAACACATGGTTACACCTGCCTTCATGGACAAGAAATGCACAGAGTAAAAAATGTCATCTCTTTTGTCTGAAATACAATCACAAGCTGTGAGGATTTAGCCTTCTTCATCTGTGTGTGCATAGCTGAATGTTAAGGGGAAGAACCCTTCTGAAATAAGGGAGAAACCTAAGTGTACATCCAGTTTCAAATTGGGACTTCTCACAGTTCTGTCAACCTCACCCTGAATGCAGGATTGCAACAGTTGAAGTTCCTGTGGATGAAATGGTCCACAAAACCCTAGATATGGAGTTCTCCAATTTCTCTTGCCTTTCAGTGAGATTTGGGAATATATGTCTGTAGGACCCTTCAAAAGGCCAGGGTACTAATTCTACTCTAGTGCTGCAAGTAAGCAAAACTAAACTATGAAAAACACATAAGCACTGGCAATTTGCACTGGAATGAAAATAAAGGTAGTCTGAAAAGAAGGATGGAATAAACTCCCGAGTCAATGACATTCTGGACCCTAGATAATGGTGTAGTTATCTTAACTCTGATCTCAACTCACATGGGTTAGCACTCTAGGAAATGTGTTCGCTGCCCTGTTAATCAAGACAGAGTAAACAGTATAACCCCGGCTAACCCTCACTGCTCTAGATGGAAGCCCAAATCAACAACGTGCTTATTTTTTCTGGAGATTATGGGAAATCTTGTTCTATTTTATTGTTTAGATGTTAGCTGATTGAGTCTGCAGAACTTTGCTCACACGCTAGGCGGCAGTGCCCACCACCACTGCCACCAACACCATCGTACCTGACTCTGCCACATCAGCAATGTTCACCCCTTGCTCTTGTGCCATGAAGCCCAGGACGGAAAAAATTGCGAAGCCAGACACAAAACTGGTACCACTGTTCAGGCATCCCAGCAGCAAACAGTCCCTAAGTCACACATATGTCATGGAGCAAGTTAATTAAAAAAAAATTAACCCATTGTCCCTACTTTATTTACATCATTTAGCTAAAACACTAAACCCCCTTAGATGGAAACTTGCCTATAGCAGTTGTATTTGTACTTGTTGTAGCTCCCCAGGGAAGTCATTGCTCCTAAGCAGATTGCATATGAGAAGAAGATTTGTGTCCCTGCATCTATCCAGACCTAAAGGGAAAGATGGAAATACTGTTATTACCAGCATCACTGCATTGCAACACTCTATGAAGACACACAGTTCAAACCAAGCAATAACAACAAAATAATTGCTTCCATTGAGGGTGAAAGCTAAAGGATCAAGGAAACAGGGAAAGAGAACATCACATTTGCAAGTTTGGCTTTCACAGGGAAAAGAAAATTATTAGCATCAGAGCCCAAAAGAACATAATCAATCTCTATAACAGTTCCTGTTTCCCCTCCCCAGAGATGCTCAGTATTTCTAGTTTCTTGGTCATTCAGCTGATCCTTCCTGTTGGTGCAACAATAAACGTGTTTCAGTGCAATAGGAAATGCAGAAGTATTTATAACATTGCTCATTTCTGTTGTAACTCATTTCAGTTAAGAGTCAGCCGGCAGATTCCTTAAACTGAGGATGTGAAAAGCTTGAGAAACAGGTTTGTGTATTTGGTTTGTTTATTTTTCTAGTTTTCTGGTTGTTTTTGTACCTGTTCAAATGCAAGATAAAAAGCCATAGGGGTGGGGGGAAAACAAGCAAAACACAATGCACTTTATAAGATACATATCTGATCTTGGTCTCATGATTCTTTGTCCTGATTACATTTTAAAAAAAAATATACAGAGTGAAACAAGCATATACTATGAATTTCTTGGCTAGTAAATACACAAGAGAATTATCAAAATGTATCCTCTGAATCCCATCTGTTCTCTTCTTTTTGCTAATGCAAGTCTGCGAACACCAGAAGAAACCACCCAGGAGTCTAAGTGAGAGTGAAGACTGAGGACCATTTACCTCCTCCCTCCCACCACTGCTTTTCCAGCACCTTGCTGACTAGTGTCTCCTTGGAGTGATGCTTTTGCTAGACTGTGGGAAGGGGCCTGTCAGTTCACGTGAATCTCTTCTGCATTATTGGCTGGTACTCTGGTTAGGGCTAAACGCAGATCATAAAAATGATAGAGTCCCATAAAAGAAGATTAATTCATAAAATATAATGTTCCCTGTGAAAAGGGTGTCTTGTAAAAGAGGGCAAGACTAGAGAATGCACCTAATTTTAACAGTGTTTCTTTTAATTACACTTTTCCTACTTCAGTTATTTAGCTTTCACTAGTGTTGTATTTTTACCAATTACTCAATAGAAAGAAATAGCAAAGACAGATGTTATTTCCTATCACTGTGACCAATGTTCTGTTATTTTCAAAGATGCCTTGCTTTTGGTTTTTTGGAGGAGGGTATTGCCTTTTCTTTTTTTTTCATTTCTCATGTGAACACTATTGGCTGAAATGATGCTGGTCTGCTTAAGTGTCCCACACTTGCACTCTGTCAGCACAGACAGGAATTTCTATCTGTACAGTAAGAGTAAGCCTGGCTCCCACTAACAAGGGGTAACCAAATGGTAGTTCCTGTGCCTCAGAAAGCATTTTCTTCACCTTTCCATGGGTTTTCATTCTTCTATAATTCCATCCACCTCTCTCCCAATCTCCTCCTCTTGAGCAGTGGGAGGTAAGTGACACTGATACTCACAGTTGTCGCTTGTTGTTCCATCTGTGAAGCTCACGTGTCTCTCCTTTGAAACTAAAGACTATCCTCATTAAAAAAAATGCATCTCCCTTACCTTACCAACAAGAAAGCTGAGATTGTATAACGGGATAGAGTCTACAGCCTCAGAGTCCTTTGACACAAAAAAATACACACGCATACACACACATACATACACATGGAAAGATGCATTAAAACACATTTAACAGTGACCTTCTCAAGCAGATCTCTGGAAAATATAACCCAGCATTAGTGTTCATGCTATATTTGGACCTCTAAAGACCATGGAAAAAAGTCTATTGCCATTACATCATCACTATCACCCTCCACCATCCCCCTTTGCATAGGAAATCTTCTCGCTCCCTGCTCCTGGTTCTGTACCTGTGGGTCAGCTAACCGTGAGATATCAGGGTAAAGATAAAACTTGATGCCTTCTGCAGCTCCAGGCAGGGTCACGCCACGGATGAGTAGAACAAGGAGCATGATGAACGGGAAGGTGGCAGTGATGTACACTACCTGGAAATGAAAAAAAAGAAAGAGAAAACTATGCTTAGCCTGTGGCAGCCAAAGCTACACCTCCAAAACCAAGAGAGACCTAATGCGGAAAATTCAAAGCCCCCTCATATCTAAAAAGGACCCAACCTGAGTTTCTGTGTGTACTTTTAATGTTCTTTACCACCTTATTGCCTTAGGCCTAAAGGCAATGCATGAATACCTCCAGAGCCCCCCAGCCAATGGTCATGTCACTCAGGCAGAGAACAAGCACGATTTTATACAACTCATGACTTTTGTTCAAGTTCTGCCTTTGCCCTGTTTGTCCTCCTCATATGACAAGTGCACCTCTGCCAGGGAACTGAAGAGGTTTCCTCACTGAGGGTGCCTGAAACATTACCTCATTCTTTATTGGAACTTTAAAACTTACAAACTGCAAACTGTTTCGCAAGCTCTGCTGCTACCTCTGACCTTGCTGTGCAGCCCCACTGCTGCTCCTACAGGCAACTTCACCAGAGACCTCGTTCAGAGATTAAGGTAATTTAGTCCATGCTCCCATGTCTCTCTTCCCATCATCTTGAACACAGGAGGCCCTTCAGGTTGGCATCAGCCTCAACAGCAGTAATTTCCAGTCCCCTAACTCCATCTTGCCCTTGCTGCCTATTCAGCAACATCATTATTGGAAACTAAGGCTCTATTCATCCAGTTTGAGAATATGTCTTCATTATCTTTAACCTCTATTCCCACTGTCTTTGAATAACAGCCTACTTCTTCTCTTCTTGTTATCTCCTCATTCATTTGATGAAAGAGCCCTTTGCTTTCATCTCCAGCACGAGGGTTAATTGAGCTTGCATTTGGACAGTTCTATCTTTAGACCCACACTTTCTGACCTCTAACATTTTGCTTTCTTTGCTCATCAGTGCTTTCTCTCGTTTTTTATATAACCACTCTGTTACAGTCAAGAATCACTACTGTCCAAGAAAGGACATTTTTCTTGGAGTCAAGATGATTCCCCCAGGTAATTACAGCTTGCTGCCATGAGAATGTATTTTTGTTTTCCAGAATTTGCTTAACTACTGCAAAGCTCTCGGGATGCTCCATTTTTCTTCTTAAGTGTGTCCTCTGAGAATAACAAGGAGAACTCAAAGCCTGTATTGCCATAGTAATTCACAGAGCTGGACTGATCTCATGGAATGGAAGGAAATCTTTTCATACATGTCCTTTTTAATTCTCTCTTTGAATTTTCTGTATATTTTCCCCTGACAAATAATATGTATTACACATTAGCCTAGTTTCACCAAAACCAGAAGGAAAAAAGGGGGATTTCTGCACTTCCTGATTTTTTCTAACATAAATCAGGCCTATGATAGCCGAAGTTTTCTTCCTAAAATATATGCCTTGACATATTTTCAGGAACCGAGTAAACAATACTCAGAGGCCTTTGCACTGCAGGTAGAGATTCTCTCGCAATGCTGAAGGAATTTTTAAGATCAAGCACATTATCCAAAGCATAAGCACAACTATTATTTTTCACCATGATTTCATGTTTATTTGTCCAATCCTCTACTACAAGATTTAAAAACTACATCTTTCCCCCTGCCCTGCTTTCCAAAGAGCCATTAACACACTGGAAAGCAGGGAAGTGATATAAACAACCATCTACTAAAGTAAACTCGACTTCTCAAATAATTCAAGTCCTCCATTAGAGTTTACAGTTTACTTTTGTTTGACCCCAAAGTTAATGGAGTCAGCCGGAGACTTTCCAATGGTTTTGTTGGGCTCTGGCTCCACACTCGCACGAGCTCAGACACCGCAAAGAGTGGGGAGTGAATTCCTACCAACTGCCTTGTTTTAGAAAAGAGACCATTTTGCAGGATTTCCAGAGAACACAGATTTTTAGATAACTGATTTTAACAGACCTTTTCTCAACCTGTTATCCTCACAGAGACAGGAAATAGTGTACCATAGGGAGCATGGTGTATCTCTCTGTGCTACCGTAACATTTACTGAGCAGACACCAGGCTTGCCAAACGTGCTACAGAAAGTGTGCTTTCACTTGGCTGCTGTGGCGACATTTACTGCATTCACCTTTACTACAAAACTTACACAATCACCTCATGGGGTCACATCAATCAGAGGGAACACAGAAGTAAACATTTTTTTCAACGTGTGCTTCAGAGGTGTGGTATCTGTTTTTTGGGGCAAAGGTGGCAGGAATACAGGGTAAGGCACCAGCCTTTTAATGAAGCTTCAGGACAAAAATCACAGAAAGGAAGAGAGAAACTACAGCAAAGCAAGTAGTTTAATTAACAGTGAAACTGATGAGATCTGGTTTCCTATGGAGTTTTATCTCCTGCTTGATTTTGCAGTATGCAACAAGCTAAAACTCTTAAATGAGGCTCTTTCTGCAGTTGAGGCACTTGCAATTTATCCTCCTGACTTCTCTAGGGACTGGTAAAAGATAAGTTCACACTGTGGCCTTTTTTTTAAGAAGGGTACTAATGGGGTCAACTCCATTCCACCTAGCTGAGAAGAAACACAGGGGAACTTGGTATCTTGAGATCCCTCTCCCTCTGTCAGACTTATCTGAACACTGCCTCAAGCAACAGGTTTGAAAGCTAAGAATCACACAAACACAATGGCCTCAAAAGCCTTTTCTCATGAAAATAGGTATAAAACCACTACTGAATGCAAGGGACAATAACCTCATGCTTTATGCCAAGTGACTGGCCAAGACCTGCTGCAATTTGCTTCTTCAACTGGAGCAGGATGAGATTCAGGAATGATGTAACTGTTACCCTTTAAGGAAAACATGATTCTGAAGAGCACACAATGAGACTAAACCCACAAGCTATCCAGGATCTCTGTTAATGACAGTGCTTCTAAAGGTGCACCTAAGTTTAGTCTTCTGTGTCTACACACAGCTCTTCCATAAGTGAGCGGCATTTCAAAAATGCCACGCATCCAGCAGCTTCCACTGACTGAAAACACCCCTACCACAGCTATGTTAACATCCCTCCCCCTGCACTGAGAATGCACTTGACTGGTGTGAGAACACGGACAGGTAGTGCAGAGCAGCCCCCATCACAAGCCTAAGACCTTCCATGCTCACGGCATCAGTGGGACACTCGTCCTCTGAGAGGTAAAGTGGTGCTCAAACCAGGCTTGTATCTGCCTCTTGATGCCATCCCAGTAATGACTACTTGACTCACAGGCATTTTGGACACTAGCAGTGACTTTCAGATTGAAAGCTGAATCTGAATTCCCCTCTTATTCAGTGCAAAAATACAAATTTTTCCAGGAAATGGTGAATATCTTCAAGAACGGCATTACTTAGTATTCCTAACATCTGTTAACTGCAATGATTATAGAAAGGGTAAAAGAGCACTTACTTTCCCAGTGGATTTGACTCCTTTCCAAATGCAGAAGAAACATATCACCCAGACGAGGAGGAGACACAGTGCTAGATCCCACTTGATAATACCAATATCTTCAATTCCTGAGGACAAGCTCAGTACATTGCGCCTGAAAGGAAACGAAACAAAAGAGAGATGCAGGAGCTCAGCTGATGCAAACTGTGGTTGTGATTGCTGAGAGCACAGGAGGATGTGTAGGGCAGCCGATCTGCCGAGAACACAGGCAGATCTCTGCCCTTGGAACACTGCTTGCTAAGTCAGCGTGGCTTACGTGAGAAAAGCTGTGCTTCGCAACCCTACATCTCCCCTATGCCTGGGGGACTCTTTTGTTCAATGTATTCCACAACATTTTGAAACTGAAGCTCTTTTTAGCAGCCTTTGTCCACCTCAATATGAGATAAGGAAGTATTTGCATCCTTGACGATCCAAGGCCACCTCACCCCAGTGTCGCAACAAACCCCGGCCTTGCAGCCGCCCAGCAGCAGTGTACACCATGTCTCCATCATGGACACTTGCAGCTGGCCTGTAGCCTCATGTTTCTCCTCCTTTCCAGTTCATTATCAAGGCTGCCACAAGGAGGAAAGGAAGAAGCAGCGCAGGGAGCAGTCACGCCACGCAGCTTTGCAGGGTGAAGGCTGGAGCCATTATCCATTCTCCCCTTGTGGCCCCCCAAACAAACACTGCCCGGGCGCCACCACCTGCCCCCAGCACCCCCGACACCAGGGTCTTGTTTAGCTAACACCAAATATTTGGGAAACTTTATTCCCTCACTTAGTTTGATAAATAAAAAGAAATTCCTAAGCTGTGTCTTAAGGGAGCAACAGCCAACCATCAAAATCCTCTGGTCCTGAGGGGGAATATTCAGTTAGGCTTCTCCCTTTTGGAAATTGCCATGGCTTTTCATTAAATACTGATTTAAAACTATTTTTTTCAACTTGTTCTCACACCCTAGACAGACATTGTTGTACTAACATTAACTTAATTTGTCAAATACATAAGGAAGAACAAACTGTTTCTTACTGTTCATTGAGCTAAAAACTCCTTTGCATATGAAGCTACCAAACTCAAGAATTTCTGCAAGGTGTTTTTCAGTCGAGTAAAAGTTTGACTTCAGTTACAAGATAAATTCTTTGCCCTGAGACTACCTTTGCTACCTAAGAAATTGTTAATTAAGTTTTATTTTCAGACAGTTAAAAAAATCAGGCACTTCCCTTCACGACAGTCACGGAGAGCAGAGCCCAGAACAGTCCAAATGCTGCACCAGGGTCAGGCCCACGTGTGTGGCGTGCACAGCTTTGCGTGTGGATCCAGTACAAGACAAACCACTGTGGTTTGGTTTTCCTCTGAACTAATTTTTTTTTTTTTTTTTTTTTTGCTATTACCATGGAAATAACAGTAAATGAAGTCACCAATGGAAAATTTGCAAGTAGGTTTTGGAAAAGCCCTGGATCGACCAGTTTAATGGGACTTAAACCCTCACCCATCTGGTTTTGTGTCTCTGCCAAACTCACTTGGATTACCTGGAACTGTGTTCTCACACCAAATGCATTATTCTCTCTGAACGTATGTGTATTTTGTTATGGGAAAGGACTAATGGCACCAGACAGGGTAAGTCTGCCCTAATCAGCACAGCTATTCAACAGTTATGAGAAACCCCTTGGTAATGAATATTTGGCATAAAGTTGCAATCCTGCTTCACCTGAGCCTAAAGAAACAAAGGAAAAACCCGCTGTGCATATACAAAAGGAGAAAATACATTCATAAGATGACAAAGTTCAGCTGCAATCTTCTGTGGTTTTTTTAAAAATAAATGGCAATTTTCCAATCAAAGTGGCAGTTCATATTAAAAAGGCAACCTATAGAGCTGGCTCTCAGGAAATTGCAAATAATTAACTGCAAATGCCTTTTGGAATAGGGAGCCTTATTTATGCATTCAGCTAAGACTTCTTTGCTTTTTATTAGGGAACTAAAAGCAAGTGGTCATTCTCTCCTAGGGTTGCTCCAGCAATTCTTTCAAGATTTTTTGGAGGGCACCCCAGTGGGTTACTGAGAGCCAGATATCTTACTTTTCTATGGTGAGGCAGCAAGCACACAGAAGTGATGTGCTGGCTTTCTCTGTTCAGATAATCCCATCTCACAAAGACCATCTACCTCAAAGAATCTGCTTGGAATTACCAGGGGAGCCTCAGCATTAAAACTCTTCCATGAGTTCTAACCCAACGTAGTCTCGCAGGAGAACTCAACCTGGTTTTATGATACCCTGTAGGTTCAAGCTCAGGAAGGAGCACGAGCTGGGTTGTGCTGATACCTCTTCAGTTTTGTCATATAACCCACTGCTGCTGAGACTCAGCCAAGCCCACTTAACTACCTTCACACCGTTTATGCACAGAGTTGTTACTAATTCTAATTTATGGCCCTGATGCTGTCATTAACTGTCACTCATATATAATCAATGGGACAACAGGCTGGGGCTGAGTTTGTTGTAAACACGAGTCCTTGACCCTTGTTCATACACTAATATGTTTACTGGTGTGCAATATGGAAATGTAATATGAGCCGTAACTGGCTCTAGAAGATAAACAAAAATAGAATGAAGAGAGTTATGCAATCCTTGAAGGATATTCCAGCTCATTAATCAAGTGAATGCAGACAGGACCTTTTGAACCAGGAAAGGTGAAGCACCCTTTCACATTGGATGGGCAAGAATAATGAACCCTGAAGTGGTTGTAGAGAAGACTATTAAAAGGAGAACATGAAATAATTTTTAAAACTCTCAAGTTTGTCCCCAATGGCAGAGACAGCTGCTCTAGATTTTGTTTAGCTTTTTGTGTTGTTCCTTTTAGGATTACATGCTGTTAGCATGTGATGGTCTTTCTTGGGATTTGGATGAATAAAGTCTGCTGATTACCAAATATTTATAAACACTTGGCCAGCACCAGACAATCAGAGGTTTTGTTCAACCATAATTACCCCATTACACTTATCCCTTATGTATTAATATGTGTGTAAGCCCTTAAGGTTTTGGACTTTAAAATAAAGTCTTCAGAAATAAGACCTGAAGCATGTGATACCAAGAGGTAAGTCTCCTAATATAAAGCCTGATTTGCTTAACCCCCTTTTATTGCTGCTCAAGCAAGCATGTGATTTGCACAGAACATTAATTTAAATGAACTGAAATGTCAGGCTGTACTATATGTCCAGCCAGGTTGAGAAGTTCAACATGAAGAGGTTAATGCATCAATGTGGTCAATTATATCTTGGCAGCGTTAGTTTTACAAAGCAATACTGATGAGAACACTATATAAATGTCCCACAAGAAAAATGGCATTGGGTTTCAGAAACCAAATACTCACAAACCCCTGAATTAAACTGGAACTAATTGTGCCACAAAGCAGATGGATATCTTCAGTTAAAGACTAATTATTTACCTGTCCTTTCAATATGGGTAGCTGGCTGGCATCCAGCATTGTCTATGATGGCAAGGCACCTGAAAGTTCTTAAAATTATTTTTAATTTCAGAACTACAAAGAATGGTAGCATGGTTGGGAAAAAATGAGGATATTAAATGCTTACACCATGTAAAAGCTATGCTACTTTGATTACAACAGTGCTGTGTGATCTCTGCCCTTACTTTAAGACACCAATAGTTATTTATGCAGAGAGAGAAGCTATTTTTAATACTTCTCCAAGTGCCATGACTCCTGAAGGCAGCTCACTCTGTTAAGGGCAGTTTTGTCCATTATGAAACAGTGAGTTATGGGCAGTATGTCTGTACTTAGTAGGATTATGGAGCCAAACTCCTCCCTAGTGTGACTCCAGGGAAGAGTTCAGCTCATGATGTTTAAAATTGTTACTTGAGGACACAAGTTAAAGTGGCTGCAAAGTGCAAGGAGAGCACCAATTGCTGAAGAACCTTTGCTCCAACTGTGCTACAAACACAATGAGAGCACGATGGAGTAAAGGAAAGTGCTGTGAGGATCAAGGATTTGTCATTCAAATCAAAGTCAGGCACCTCCAGCCTGACTACATCAGGTTGTGTGTACAGGAGCATTTTGTTCAGCTTGCAGGGACGTTTTCCAACAAGAACCTTTCTAACAGGAAACCTTCTCTTAGACGAAAGTTAACTAAAAGCTCCACCTCTAACATGCTCCCATGTGGGGACATTGTTTCCCCAGCCCACAGACAGGCTGCCCTGTCATAACACCCTTCATCACATACCTGCTGTGTTGTTACCTACAGAGACCTCTGGTGTTCCTCTAGAGCCCTCACTCCTTTTTTACAATCCCCTTCCCCTCTCCCAGCCTTATTCCTTTCTGCTATGGTATCTCCAGTCTCCTCAAGCGAACATGGGGCCCCAGGGAGACAACTCAGCCTGCAAATCTGTGCACTCCATGAAAAGAAACTTTCAGAGTAGCAGGACAATCCTACGGACACTTCAGGAGGCTGCCAAGCTCACGGCTGCCCCCAGGTACAAGAGAACCTGTCAACAAAATTCCTGCACAAAATTGATGATGAACTCAGTGCTCTGGACATCCTAGGGGAGCAACTATTTCAGAGGCAACACTGTGGACCCCTGCTTCCTCTGGAGCCCTTGAGGAGACCTTTGAACATCCTACCAAGCCAGCCAGTCATTCGGATTCAAGGTCTTCAGTCCCCCAAAGACATTGTGGGAGAGTCCAATGGAGTGGGAGTTGCTTCCTCTTGTACTGCAACTTGCCTCAAAGTTCCCCTAAAATACCCACAGGTACCGTTTACCAAACATTTTCCAACTTTCTCCATATTTACAAGAGAGGAAGTCACCTGGGAAATGAGCTGTCCCTTAACACGGAAACACAGTCCTCACAATAAACGACTGCTCTCACAGCCTGCACCCCATCCCTCACACCAGCCACCAGTGCCTTTTGACAAACTGCTGATCTAAGATCCAAACTGCCCTTTGTATTTTGGCTCTTGTGTTACAAATTTTAGCACAGTTCATAAGACTATTTTTTCTAAACCTAACGCATGCCAAATATCTTCAGCATGAACACCACTCCTGCTGGGGCTTTGGCTGCTGCTTATTTTTAAAAATAGAGAAGTAGGTACAAGTTGATCAGAGACAAAACTGGACTTCACACATGCTGAAAAAGCCCAGCTGGGCCAGAAACTAATTCTACTCATGACTACATGAGTAAGCCAAAGAAAAAAAAAATTGCTTAGTTATTTGTAGATCCCTTGGATTTAAGCTTCCCTACAGGTGTCTTCCTCTGCTGCTATGATTTGACACTTATGTAAACACAGAGACATTTGAGGTCATGCCTGTTCAGAGACCATGTTATGCAATATGATTTAAAACTTGAAAAATAAAAGAGAAATGAGAATAAGAAGCTTAGGACTGATGAAATTCAGGCATCTGGCAAACCAGTCTCCTCAGAGACTGCAGAGAAAAATGATGTAATGAAGATGACCTGAGAAACCTGCAGTACAGGACAAACAACGTTCACCACCTCTGTCAGATTTATTACTGATGTCAAAGCCTTTTGCATTATTATCAGACTGAGAAGTGGTATAGCTTCACAAAGTGTACTGCAAATGCTAACAGCTGGCAAAGAGGCAACCACAAAGGTGATGATTTGTCACTGTTTCCATAGTAAATCCTGCTATCAGGGCATCTGCAACGACTTGTTTCTGTTCTCCCGCTGCACTCAGAGAATCCCAGCCAAGAAGAAAAGAAGTTTTCTTCCAAAACAGAAGCTGCACTGAGCTTTTAGGGCTCCCTGAATGCTTTAGGATGAAGACAGTTACACATCTAACACCTCCCTCCACCACTCCCAGACCTACCAGTCTGTCTCAAGATAGGCGAGAACCAGTAGCAAACACTGGTTAAACAACTGGTACCTAGAGCAATTTTCCTATCTAACACTCCCCACTACTAGGCTTACATAAAATCCCAGGCTCTGGCATGCCACCAAAGCTCCCCAAAGACACCACAAAGAGGGAGGTACTTACTCCCAGAACTCTGTGACAGGAGAGGTGAAGTTAGTGGCATTCAGTGATATCCAAAGTGTTTTGTTCTTCCTGAGAGTGTCTTCCACGCAGGTCGGCGTGTTCCACTTCTGGTGGCAGTGGGCCCACGGCAGGACGCTCTGGAACGACTGGAACAGGTAGTAGAGTCCCCAGGCCAGGATCACAATGTAGTACACGTTCAGAAGGGACACAATCACTATGGAAGCATAACCAATTCCTGGCGAGAAGGGGAGAGAAAGGCAAAATATGCAGATGTGGACAGTAGCTTCTTCCTAGGGCACCTCGTGATCTCGTGGAGCTGCTGCTATTCCCACTGCATCATGGACTTGTATCCTGCTCTACCCTACTGTTGATGGAAACTCAACTCAACCACATATAAGCACTGACCTGCCACCATCTCTGCTACCAAGGGATGAGTTTCTGGCTACGGTTTGCTGACACTGAAGGGAGGTCTGCAGGACATCTACCCAACTTACTAACCCAGCTATTTCAAGTTCTAATAGAAGGAATTCAAGGCATCTTGCTTTGCTCATCTAGGATTTACACCATCTCACTTAGGTACCTACATGGGCAACCTTATTGTCACAATGTCCCCCAAAACAGCTTCCTTGGCAGCAGCTCAGCTGGGCAGCCCCTGCACCACTCCGTTATCAACTGGCTGGGCTTAGTCTATGTGCAAAAAACCCCCAAAAAACAAAGACAGTCCTTGAATGAGTTAAAAAGGAAAATTTTGAAGGAATCAGTGGGAAAGCAGTTGTTTCTGCCCCAGTTTCACTTGTGTGAAGGAAGCATGGTGTTTATGGCTCTTATGGTTAACTGGATCAATCTCTGCTTACAAAGTTTGCCATTTACAGGCAAAAAAAAAAAAAGATTTCCTTTAAAATCTTAAGAACCTACGAGGTTCTCTTTTACATCACTCTGACAGCTATTCCAGCACTTGGGATACCTGTCTCTTATTTTACGGTTTAAAACCTTGTTGTAGCAGGCATCTTTACCACCAGAGATTATTTTTATGTCAGGTGGAAACAAGCAGAGCAAGTGCTATTTATTCTGTACATTTGCATTTCCTTCAGGATATACAGCTAGTCACATTAGCTACACTTTCTCTTTATGGATGCCTAGGAGATTGCTATTTAAATAAGGAACATTCCTTCCTCTTCAAAAAAAAAAGGCTTCATAACTGTGGGAGGAGGAGGAATAAAATTAAGCTAAAGAAGCACAATTATATCAGCTTCAGCAGTGTTCTGACTACTAGGTGGGAGTGTGAGCCCCAGAGAAAACCCCCACTTCTGCCTGGGGTGACATAAGGGGAGAGAGATGCCTGGAACAGCAACAGTGGCAGAACTAGAGACACACCAGTGCCCACTCTTTCCAAATGGGATTTGAACAGTGCCACATGTTTAGTGTACTTATCCCAAATGATTCTGCCTGTGCTGTCTGGCTGTAAAGGGCAATCTACACATAAGATAGGCATCCGTGCTCATTTTTCTAACCTGTCTCTCATTTTTCATTCTAGTTTACTTCCAGAGCAGCCTCTGCATTGTTCCCATGAGTGGTGAGTCAGGCAAAGGCCCTTTGGTAACAACACGCCTGTTTGCCAGGAGCTGCTCAGCTATGACTGAAGTCCTTTTCCTGAATCCTACCAAAAATGCTGTCCAGGTTTTGGCTGTATCAGTAACAGAGGGATGATGCCACTGATAAGCTTTCATATGGCAGAGGTATTTTGATTTCCAGACCAAAACAGCATTTCAAAGACAGGTTCATTAATGCCACCCAACCTTCCAAGGCAACACTTGTAACTCTGACACCTGCAAACAAAATGTGCAATTGCCTTTAAAAGGCGTAATATGCAATTTCTTTCTTGCTTATCAGCAGTTCTGCCAGTTAACAAGGTGATAGCATCAATATCAATACTTCACTTTGTCCTTCAGACTCTCTGACTTCTACCTTTCCAGGAACCAATATCATACCCTAAATTACACGAGCAAATAGCTGAATTAATGGACACTAGGGGAATGATGTAGTTACATACAGCTTACACAGGTTCTTTAAGCAGTAAAGCACAACAAGATGTACTAACCAGTGAAAATAGGGCAGATCTTTTCCCAGCATGTAATTCCACCTTCAGAGGTATACTGTCCTAGCACCACCTCCAGGAAAAACACGGGAAGACCTCCCCCAAACAGGAAAATGAAATAGGGTATAAGAAATGCACCTGTTGAGAAAATACAGTAGTACAAAGTTGAGATGAAGTGAGTGAGCTTACACGAGGTCATCTAAAAAGTGGGAACATGCATATATAAACAAAGAAGCATACTCGATACTTAATTATTATCATTACACAATAATCTTATTCTGGGGTATTTTCGCTCATATTCTCTGCAAAAAGAATGGGTATATGTTGGAAAGGGCATTTTCTTACCTCTTTAAAGTGAAAATCTGCAATAACAATGGCAAATTGTTAGGCACCAAACAGTTTCACGTGGCTCAGAATGCTCTTATTCTGAAATCCCCTAGTCTGAAATCCTACCAGTCTATATTGATAGCCTATCTTTCGGTTAAAACTCAGACTGAATTGTAGCAGAAAAAGTTCAGTAGTACAACATTTTAAACTGCTGTTGTTTTTCCCTAATGAAGTTTCAAAAAAACCTACCAAGTAATAAAACAACCTCTCCTGAAGACCGATGAGCAAAGCAGAAAACAGGTGTATGACTATTCTTATTAAAAGCTGGATGAAGGCACCAAAAACCAGTAAGCACAAGGCAGACAGATTGATTCCTGAGAACGAAATAAATACTCACCTCCGCCATTTTTGTAGCAGAGATACGGAAACCGCCAGACATTGCCTAAACCAATAAATCCACCTGCCACGGACAGCAGAAAGTCAATCTTGCTCGCCCACTTCTCCCGCTGGGGCGGCTTCCCTTCTGCCTCATCCTCAGGCCGTGTCCCCGGGCTCTTGCCGGGGGAAGGTTTGAGGATGTCCTTGTGGAAATCTTTCAAGCACTGAAGCTTTTCCTTTGTTGCCATATTTCTGCTTTCTACACAGAAAAAAAAAAAAAAAAAGGGGGGGGGGGGGGAAGTTTGTTAAACAGTCTTTTCCAGCACAGCTCTCCAACACTGTGAGAACTGTTTAGACAAACTCATTCAAAAAAACCCAAAAAACAGTGCTGTTTATCCAGTTGAGGTAGGAAAATACACCTGATGCCTTCACTGACCAGGAGAGACAAGCCACTCCTGAACTCTGGGGTCACCTCTCTGCTCAGTGAAGCGTAGAGAACAGTAAAGCTTTGACACCACTTGCTGCTGACCTGCTGCTGCAGAGAAAAGGTGTCCCAAGACTGCCCACTGTGTCAGCATCAGTACACAGAATTACTGAGCAAGTGTCTCATGCTACTTCCATGCCCAAAATAAGGTACAAATCACTGCATCTGATTCCTTCTCAAACATTGACACAAAATACAACAGAATAGTAAATCTCACCTTTCCAGATAAAACCCATTCTTCTATTTCCCAATAACCCGAGAGATCCTGTATCCTTTATTGCCTGCAATTTCCATTCCCTGAAGTACTATAAAGCTTTCAGAAAACTATACATTCATAAAAACTGGAATGGAAAGTAATTTGTTCTAATAATCCTGCAGGAACTGAAGGATTCTTTTCAGTTTATTCCACTTTCATAACTCCACTGTTTTCCCTTGACATCAATAAAGGGACAAAAACAAGCCTTTATATTCAATTATTGTGTTACACACACCTATGCAATTGAATAGTTTGCCGAGCATGATGGCTCCTTAGCTAATTAAAAAGTCAGTGGCATGAGTCATACCAAATCATAGCTGGATTTATAATTTATATATGTAATTTATGATCAAAATAACAGAAAGAATTATTCTAACAAGTGCCTTTTTATGCAGGATTTTCTAATGAAAACAATTTAGGAATAACCTGTAGCTTTTATGTTAACTCCGATCTCAGGCATACGAGGCCAATTCACTCCCCGCATAACTCAAGTGACTTTATCTGGATCTGACCAGTTACTTTTGCATGGTGTTTTATACTGAAATTTTCACCAGAACCAGACAAACCAGCAAGTTTATTCCAGACCACAACCATTCCCTGCTTGTACATGTCATTAGGAGTGCACAGTCATAAAAAAATCGTGCTACAGATTATCCTGTTTGATAGTTGCAAGCTGCAAGCTCCCTTGTACCTGTGTGCTGGTTTTGATCCCTAACCTGATTTAGCTTGTGGCGGTGACCCAAAGCTCGAGCTGACATTAGCTGTGCAGGAAGTTTTTAATCCAGACATGATTTTGAGATAGATATGCATCACTGTACTCGTAAATCTTTCCATCCACCATGGAAAGTTTCAGAGGGCTACACTGTCACAACCCACGGCAGCTCGATACTCGCCCCACTGGCATGTTGGTGGCCTTTGTAAAGCAGGCAAATTGCCTATCAGGCCATGATCTATAAAAGGGACTTTAATCTCCACAGTGTTAATCATTATGACTTTCTACTGGTTTCTAAACAAGGCCACTGGTGTGCACAGAGGTGACACGAGCATTGCAATACCTCGTGGTCAACAGCAGAGAGAGCTCACAGGAGGAGAAAGTGAATCCCAGGGAGATGGACCATCACCACCCACTGCAGGGGGAGGAGGGCAGGACACATATTCCTCTAAAATATCTCCTGTTGATCGCTTTTAGAGACATGGCATGAGATAAAGTAGTGCAGTAACTGAATAAAAGTGATAGGGTCAGCTCTATAACAGCCTTTAGGCACTTAGTTGCTTTTGGGACTTAATTCACAATAGTTAACTTGAGTTGTAGTATCATGAATGGAGGCTAATGAAGGTGGCTCTGAGAGGGATTCACAGCAGCCTTAACCTCCCTGAGACATCTGCATCTCACTCAAAGCCCCCAAAAAACACCATCCTGCATAATCCCCTGGAGTCATCTCTTGAGGGAGGGGAAAAAAAAAAAAAGCATATGCAACTGCTTTTCTTCAAAGAGGTACCTACAAGGTGGCTGATGCCCTGCTCTCACTGCAACAGCTACCTGGCATGAAGAAAGCACAATTTCATTTCCTTTTGCTATTTGTGCTGCTTGAATCCCTATCTTTCATCGTGGATGTCATAACCATCAGGCAACAGGCTATTCTGAGCTGAGGAATGGAGGGCATTTGGACCGTCTCATGGAAGCTGTTCTTCATGGGGGTTGTTGAAACACTCGTCAACAGGAGAAGAAGGTGTGCAAAAGAGGGTCTCACACCTAGTGTTTAGTGTATACTCTTGTTTTACAGATAACTTCTCCGTGAACTGCTGGGACAGCCCTAAACCTGCTTGACAGGGCACAGAGACATACAGATTCATAGATCTCTCTGGGATTAGGTTTGAAATAAGAGCTTAACTGCTCCCCATGGGGACTGATACTGGAAATACCCCGAAAGAGAACACTGGGAACACAGGCTCCCCTTATGTCAAAAAAACCCAAGGGGACCTACAGCATTAGCCACCTCCAAGATTAAAAACTCTTCAAGATTGCAATTTTTTGCAATCTACTTTTATCTTGCGACACAGAGTTCTTTATTTTTCTGCCAGCTCTAATCCTCTTGCCTGCAGATTTACTTTGACCCAGGTGTTAGTCATAGTCAGTTCTACCCAAAGTCTGCAAGGCTGACCAGCCGACTGCATTCTGTAAACCCTGACTCTCCCTGGGACAAGGTGATTGCCCTATGGTTTGCCCCAATTACCTGCACACAAAGAGTGAAATGGTGCCTTTCTAGACTCTTTCTTCCTAACTGAGTGGAACTGCATTTTGAAAAAGGGATTTCTAATTTGTCTCAAGATACCCTAAATTAATGGCCATGCTTGAAAACCTAATTAGTGAGCAATTAGTTTCCCCTTAGCTGGAGTGTGAAGATAGATCATGATCTTTCCCTTTGTCCAAGAGCACAAACCCTCAAGGCTGCCGCTGCTTTTGGGGTGGCAGTTTCACCTGATGGGTGCCAGGAGATGGACAGCCACAACTTTGGTGGAAGTCACCAGCTCTAAATAGTGGGGCACAGTACACATCCAGTGCCTGCACAAAATTAGTAACAGCCCAGTTTTCTGTGTTTAGACTTGCTAAAATCCCAATTGTGTTTCAAGGGCCGGCAGCTGTGGCTGGCAGGCACGTCCCGTCCACCAGTACCACAGGGACTGTCGCTAAGCGGCCACCTGGGACTGCGGTCCCAGCCCGTGTCACGTTCAAGGGATGTTGGATTTATCCCCCTTTGCTGCCAACCATTGGTGTCCACCCAGCCATTCCCAATTACAGGAACTGTCTACAAAGGCTGCAAGGGTGGGGGGTACAGGCGATTCTCCTTGGTGAAGAAAAGCCAAGAAAATCAAGTTTGTTTAGTGAAAGGCATTGTCTTTTTCCTTAATGGGGTTGGAGTTTCATTTCCTTTAGTTATGTCCCACTGGGTGAGGTTAAAATGGCTCTTGAAGGAAACAGTCTGACAGAGATGCTGAAACAATATGTTGTCACCGCCCAGGTCAGAACCAGAGAATAATAGGTTATTTTTACTGTATCACTTAGTGTGGATGGTATCTGAGATCTAAGTCCATCAGATTCCCCCAAGGAAATATATCGTAAAAAAATACTCTTATAACCAGAGAGTCCAAAAGGAGCAGTGCAAGTCTGAGGCATACGTTTGCCTCCCAGAGACACACGTCTGCCTTCCAGGAGACACATCTGCCTGTGAAAGTACCCCCTCCAGGAAGCTTCAGATGGCCCCAGGAAGCTCTGGCTTCATCTGATGAACTAATATGGATAGATAGAAAGCAGTAGTCCAGCCTGCTATTTACGGTGTGCCAGGCTGAGCCCAACCACACTACAAGAGCCTGACCTGAAAGCAAGGGGAGGAAGGATCCAGACTGGGCCAGGCCCAGAATCTGCTCTCACGTGCACTGGTACAAACCCCCATTAGCAGAGGATGGGGCTATCGATTGTCAGACTGATGCAGGTAAAACATGGAAAAACACAAGAAGGGAGTGTGCAAGGGCACATTGTGCTTCTCAAACATCTGCTTGCCTGTGCCGCCAGGAGCACTTCAAAGGCTCCTCTCCTTCTGCAGAAGAATCTGCGTATGTCCCTTGCTCAAATTTCCCTAGGTGAAATACCTTGCAATAACCCAAGCCCTTCTGCCAACCCCTATAACTGACCAGTCTTTGGTGCACAGCTGAAAATACCAAAAGACCGGCCATAAGTGGAGAACTTTCACAGCCAACTTGGCATGAGCCATCCCCTGGGCTGCAGAAATCAGATCTTCACACGTACAGCCTACATCTCAAATAACCCATACCCTTTAAAAAAATACTGGCATTGAAATGCAATCCTTCGTAACATGCAAAAAAATGAGGTGTAGGGAAAGGGGGAGGCACTGGACAGAGGGGTCAGGCAGTGAGCGATGCAGGTGAGGGAAGGCCTGGCATGGCCACGACCTGCTGGCTGCCAGAACAGACAAAACTCACAGTACTGCTGAACCACTTATTTTTTTTGACAGAAACCTCACAGATTACACATCTGAAAATACACTGAGATCAGTTTCTACTTTGGGATTACAGTAATGATCTGCTCCAAGCTTCTTACAGCCGGAGACAAGTGACCAACGCACGGCGACACCTTCCAGGAGGAGCCTTGAGGTTAAATCCATCATGGATGCTACCTCATTTTATAGCCTCTAAAAATTGAGTCTTCCAAATAGTGGTTTTCCAAATGTTGAAGGAAATGGGAAAATCAAAGTCTGCCTGTACACACAGATATATGTTTGTAAATATTTACACATGCTAAAATGCATGTCCTATCTTGTATCTGAATATCAGAAACCACAGCAAAGCAGACACTTCTCATTTGGTCCATGCATATAAACTTTGACCAAAGACTCAACGTACTCAATTGGTGACTAGCACGCTAACTGAACATTTTTTCTTCCTAGCTTCTTCTGTTAGAAAACTAAAAGCAAAGTACATATTCAGAATACCTCTGACCTTG